GAAAGAAAGAAAGAAAGAAAGAAAGAAAGAAAGAAAGAAAGGAGGGAAGGAAGGAAGGGAGAAAGAGAGAGAGAAAGAGAGAGATGCAGGTGCAAATCAAAACTACAATGAGATACCACTTTACACCCACTGAGATGCCTGGAATCCAAAGGTCAGATAACAACAAGTGTTGGTCAGAACTATCATGCATTTCTGGTGGGAATGTAAAATGATACAGTCACTTTGGAAAACAACCTGGAAGTTTCCTCAAATGGCTAAACATAGAGTTACCGTAGGATGCAAGGACTCCAATCCTAGGTATATGCGAAGAGAAATGAAGACATATGTCCACACATAAACTTGTACACAAAAGCTTATAGTAGCACTGTTTACAATGGCCAAAACATGGAAACAACTCAGAGGTTCATCAGCAGATGAATGGACACACAAAATGTGGTACATCCGTACAATGGGATATCATGTGGCCATAAAAAGTAAGGAGGTACTGATACCTGCTACAACACAGATGAACCATGAAACCATTCTGTTAAGTGAAAGAAGCCAGCCACAAAAGCCCACAGACATTTTATTCATATGGAAGCCCAGAACAGGGAACTCTATAGAGACAAAAAAATAGATTAGTGATTCCCAGAGTCCTGGGTGGTAGAGGAGGATGGGAGGTGATAACTCAAGGATATGGGGTTCTTCATGAGTGATGAAAATTTCTAAAACTGACTGTGGTGACGGTTGCACCTGTCTAGGAATATACCAAAAACGATTGAATTGTATACTTTAAATGAATTGTACGGTATATTTAATTATATTTCAATAAACCTGCTTTAAAAAGAGCCTCAAAAATATAGGGTTGTCATGTCTGGATGGGATGGCTAGAACTGAGGATTACGTCCACACAAAGAGAAAGGCAGCATCAAGGCTGACCTGAGAAGCAGCACGGGACCCTGGCAGTACCAAGGGTTTTTTTATGTGACATGATGAATTGTTTCCTGCTTTTTTTTTTTTTTTTAAGAGATGAGGGTCTTGCTATGTTGTCAGGCTGACCTTGAACTCCTGGGGTCAAGCAATCCTTCTGCCTCCATCTCCCAAGTAGCTGGGATGACAGGGGTGCATCACCAGGGCTGGCAATATGATGAATTGTTGAAGCCAGCTTGCATTGTTTTTGTTGTTGATGTTGTTTGCAAACAACTAAATGTTTTATGTAAAAGGGAGTTTAATATAGGGAATTAGCTGCTTATAAAACCTTTGTAAGTACTGGGTGGCCAAGCTCTAAGCTGAATCCCCAGAAATGATTGCTAGAACACTGCAAAACTGCCCAATGAAGCTGCTACTTCTGTCCCCTATCAGGAAGGTGGGGACGTAGGAGACCACCACTGGAACTATCACACTCAAGAACACAGTGCTTTATTTGTGACTCCGGGTTAGAAAGCCATTGCCAAACCACCACAAGCCACCTATCAGCAGCACCCAATGAAGCTGGTGAATGAACATGGAGTACTACTTCAGAAACCGTAACCATCTCCTACACCTTATTTGCTAGAAGAAAACAGTCAAAGCAGCAGAAGGATATCTATTTGACTTCTACCTTCCAGATGTCTCTCACTTAATGATCAACTTCTTTGTTCTTTAGTCCTACTTCCGTCTCAGATCTATCTGGAATCATTTTGCCTTCTGCCTGATACGTATTATTTATAATTTTCTGAAGATCTGCTTGTGAAGACTTTTCAGTTTTGGTTTTCTTAAAAAGATCTTTGTTTTGCCCTTGTTCTTGAAAGATTATTTTCTTTCAGGACATAAAGGATAGACATGTAGTTATTTTATCTTAGCAAATGAATATTGCCATCCTTAGGGATCTATTGGCTACAGGCACTTCTGATACTAAATGGTGAAGTTTCAGTACAAGAAATAGAAGCCAGCAGAAAAGGAATTTGATACAGGGAAATAGGTAGTAAAAATCATTCAGTACACGGAAAAATGATCTCTGTTTGGACCTCCGGAAAAGACTCTCTGAACACCAGAAGTAACTCCATAGAGGAGCTGCCACTTCTGTGACAGTCAGGCTAGTATAAAGCCACCTGTAGAACTTAGCTGGGTTTTGTGACACAGCACTGTGGCCACCATAACTGCAGTTGTGTCCTCCATTCCCACAAAGCAGGGACTGGATAGTGGAGAGCCGATGCAGGAAAACTCCGTGTTTTCAACAATCTTGTTTGCCAGGAGAAAACAAAGAAAACTGCAAAAAATATGGCCTGTCTCACATCTGCTTTCTAAATTCTGAAAAGCTAATTTGCGTAACCCAACTTCAAGAGTATCTACAAAATGTAACTTTTCATTTCCTACCCTTCACAGTACAGTAAGACACCCTAGAAGGAGACAGGAAGAGTAGAAAGGATCCCTGCTGTCAAATGGCATGCAGTGGAGGGGCCTGAAGTGGCCAACGGTTTTGACAGTGGGGAAGCTGAGGAGGCAAGATGCCCCTCTCTAAAAAAAATTGAAATTAAAAAGGGAGGAGTGCAGAAGATTTGAGGATTCCTGTGAAGGAAGGAGGAGAGAGAGGTAGTAGTAGAAAGAGGGGACATACAGTTTCAAGATAATTTTGGTTGATTGTTTTTCTAAAAATGGTGGAGAATCAAATGTGTTTATCTATGGAAAGGAAGGTGTCAATCAAAGAGAACAGAGGGAGGGAGTAGATGCTTGATGAAAGGAGAACCTGCAGATGGTGGAAGGGGATGTTCATGGTATATGGAAAGATGGTCATATTTTGCTAAGTGATATAAGCATATTTTAAAGTGAACATTGTATGATAACCTTCCATTTACAAATATATAATAGATACATTGAAAATACTCACTGAATTGTCAGACATCCCTTATAGAGACAAAACTCAATTTCAATGCTGCAAAGCTACACTATTGAGATGGAGCAGCCCCAGCCAATAGCACAGGCATGGGCAGGGTGTGTAGTAACTGGAGAGCAGGATAAGAGTGGGAGAGGGTGAGATACAAGACAACAGACTCATACTTTTAAAATTATTATTATTATTTTTTGAGACAGAGTCTCGCTCTATCGCCCAGGCTGGAGTGCAGTGGTGAGATCTCAGCTCACTGCAACCTCTGCCTCCCAGGTTCAAGCGATTCTTTGCCTCAGCCTCTCAAGTAGCTGGGACTACAGGCATGTGCCACCACGCCCATCTAATTTTTTTCTATTTTTAGTAGAGATGGGTTTCACCATCTTGGCCAGGGTGGTGTTGAACTCCTAACCTCGTGATCCACCCACCTTGGACTCCCAAAGTGCTGTGAGCCACCACACTTGGCCAGCAGACCCATACTATTGAAGGCCACATGCCCATGAGACTGGCTTGCTCCATAGCTGAAGTCATGACGCCGACTTTCCCACCCTCCCATATGCTGAGGAACAGCCTGCCATCAGTTCTTCTGGAGCTCAGCTCAGAGACCTCGGCATAGCATCCTCTATCCCCACTCACCCTCAACAGATGCCTTCAACAGTTGTGGAGACATACAAGTTCCCCCATAGTAGTCTTGAGACACATCCTTAAAAAGCACTGATGTGACTGCAACACGGTCCCCTCATGTTTCCTGCCCTCTTCCCTTAAATCATCACCAGAAGGATCTGCTGACTAAGGCTGTCCCTTAAATATACGACTTCCTTGAAATTAACTTGACACAGCTTAAACTAACTTAGCTGTTCTCAATCCCTGTCTTATCTCTCAACATGACTGTTTCTTATGCCAACATTATGCCAAACTGTAGATATGTATGAATAAGCAGAAATATAATCCTATATTTTCCAAGAAAAATCATATATCAAAATGTTAACAGTGTTTTTTGAGTGTCAGGAACTGCATGTAATTTCCATTTTCCCCTTTTGACTTACTGCACTTTTTACTCTTTCTACAACGATCTTGTATTATGTTTATGAATAGTAAAAAAAATAATAAAGGTTGTTAAACAGGACACAAGTAGAAAGTTGTCCTTGAATTATAAAATTACTAAAGTGTTGAAAATAACTAAAATGCTGAATAAAATAGTATTTAAGCTGAATAAAACATAAGTCATACTTAGGCATGAAGACAGAGACAGAGAGGTATGCAAGGTGCCAGAGCCAGATTTGGACTTGAGGACACACACAAAACTGTGTGAATTTGAGAGCCTCCTTGGCTTCCTCATTATCCAAACCACTGGCCACATCAGGTCCCTACACTGCATGCCATTTAACAGCAGGGACCCCTTTCACTATTTCTATCTCCGTCTAGGGTGTCTTATTGTACTGTAAAGGCCAGGAAACAAAAAGTTTTTTTTGTAGATACCCTCAAAGTTGGGTTATGCAAATTAGGATTTCAGGACTTGGTAGCTTCTCAGGACTAGCAGGACAGAAGATAAAGCCTACTACCCAACAAGAGGGAAGTCTAACAGGAGATTCCCCCAAAACTGTGATGCCGCAGGGCCACGTTCCAGTATAAAGGTGGCCTAAGAAATAAATTCTTCCATCCCTACAGGACTGAAAGGAAAACTGCCCTTTTTGGATCCTGATGCTTATCAAATTGAGCTGGGGGTGAGGAATCTCCCTTCAGAATTTGTAACGGAGCCTGCCCTCACGAATTTACCTGACCGGGAACTATCCCCCTTCCTAAAAGATAAACAAAATACACACACACAAAACCTGGAGCAAAAGATGTGAATATGTGTGTGTGTATATATATATATATATATACACACACACACACACACACACACACACACACGCACACACATAAACAGGGCACTATGAGTGAGTTCCAGCAGAAACAAGACAGCAGATTCAGACCCAGATTTTAGATGCTGGAGTTATAAAACCTAGTATATCCAATAAGTATTTTGATATCATTTAATAAATAAAAGAGTCTTGAAAATATCACAAAAGAGCAAGCAGATATGACTCGCTAGCTCTCCCCGTGACACACGCTCACACCGGGCTCGAGGTGGCGGTGGCGGCTGCGGCGGCAGCGGCTGGGACTCCGACCCCTGGGTTGAGGATGCGTTCTCCGTGGGGGCGTTGGAACTGCCGGCGGGGACCGCTGGGAAGGCGGGGACGAGGATGAGAACGTCAAAGCTAACTGGGATGACGATGATGATTAAAAAAAAAAAAAAAAAAAAAAAAAAAAAAAAAAAAAAAAAAAAAAAAAAAAAAAAAAAAAAAACAAAAAAAAAAACGGAGGAAGGAAAACCAGAGGTAAAAATTTCAGAAAAGAAAAAAATAGCAGAGAAGATAAAAGATAAAAGAGAAAGAACAGCAACAGAAGAAAAGGCAAGAAGAAATTAAAAAGAAGTTACAAGAACCTGAAGAACCTGAAGTGCTAACACAAGAAGAACAATTAGCAGATAAACTGCGGCTAAAGAAATTACAGGAAGAGTCCGACCTCGAATTAGCAAAGGCGTTAATAATAGTTTATGGAGTAGATGCTATGAACCCATCTTCAAGAGATGACTTTACAGAGTTTGGAACATTACTAAGAGATAAAATTACACAATATGAAAAGTCACTATATTATGCCAGTTTTTTGGAAGTCTTAGTTCGAGATGTGTGTATTTCATTGGAAACTGATGATTTGAAAAAGATTACCAATTCACTGACTGTGCTTTGCAGTGAAAAACAGAAGCAAGAAAAGCAAAGCCAAGCCAATAAGAAGAAAGGTGCGGTTTCTGGAGGGGGGTTAAAAGCCACCATGAAAGATGATCTGGCAGATTATGGTGGTTACAATGGAGGATATGTACAAGACTATGAAGACTTCATGTGACATTTTTATCTTCTCCTGGTGTCATCTTTATGTTGCCCACAATCCCTTGAACACGTAGCACAACATCCTTTCTTTTCAGTTCTGCCAAATGCTACAATCAGAAGTGCAGTGTCTTTTGTGCTTATTTAACCCCTTGACACTTTGGTGCTAATGTGCAAATAAGGGAACTTGGACCTTGCTGCCAAGGGGTTAAAATTGGGAACCTCAGTTGCTACTAAATCATAGTTCAAAACAAACCTCATAATGTTGTCATTGTTGCTATCTGATTTCATAGCAGCAGTCACTAAATTGGAAAAATGTTGCAACATGACAGAAAAAAAAAATGTGTAGTATTTACCAGCACCATTCAGTAATACAGCCTTAACCATACCTCCTTGAACTACTTCATAACTTGTCAAGAAAGGCAGTTTGCAGCAAGGGCATGTGGTGTGCACCTAGTAGTAAAATTGCTTTGTCTTAAAATTGAACATAAGGATATTAAAAATACATTGTGAAGAAGACTGCTTATCTCTGAGTGAAGATACTGCGGCTGAAAAGCATTAGTTTGATATAAAATTTAAATGACCAAAACCCTCCAACTTTGAAGCTAAAAAAGGTAAACCTCTCCATTATTGCATTACATGTTGTGGAATCTCTTGAGTGCAAAGACTGTCTAGTTATTTATCAGGCTATTTCTACTGATGAAGTGCTTCAGATGGGAGAGGGAAACTCTTTACCTGTTTTTATTTGCCTGATTTAAATGTCTGAGAAACAAATCTTCGTTCTCTTAGGCTGCAATGGAACAACTTTACCAGGGTTTTGGCATTTCCTTTCCTTTATAAAACATGCTTAGCAAACTGTACCAGTTAACTACAGTTTGGTAAATTGTTAACAATTATGACATCTGCAGTGTTTTATAAAGCAGCTAATTTAATAAAATCACTATTGTGAGGGAAAAAAGATCAAGCAGATATGAAAAAAATCAAACAGTTTATAGAAATGAAAAATATAACAACTGAAATTTAAAACTCAATACACAGGTTTAACATCTAGATACAGCTGAAAGGATGACTAGAGACATGAAAGACAGAACAGAGCTTATCTGACATATAGCCAAGAGAGATAAAGATCTGGAAAATATGAAATAGAACTTAAAGAGACGTGGAAGGTAGACTGAGAAGGTCTATGATATGTTTTGGCTGTGTCTTCACTCAAATCTCATCTTGAACTGTAGCTCCCATAATTCCCACATGTTGTGGGAGGGACCTTGTGGGAGATAATTGAGTCATGGGGGTGGTTTCCCCCATACTGTTCTCGTGGTAGTAAGTCTCACGAGATCTGATGGTTTTGTAAGGAGAAACCCCATTTGCTTTTTGCCTGCTGCCATGTAAGATGTGCCTTTGCCTTCCACCATGATTGTGATGCCTCCCCAGCCACATGGAACTGTGAGTCCATTAAACCTCTTTTCCTTTATAAATTATCCAGTCTTGGGTATGTCTTTATCAGCAGCATACAGTCTAATGGAGGATTACTTTCTATAAATGACAAAGGGTCCTAATCCACAGGTTCAAGAAGCCAAAAATTTTCAACTATAATAAGTAAAAAGAAATGTGCACCCAGAATTTAATAGTGAAGACACATGACATAGTATACTAAATATTAAAATATTAAACAATATATTGTATTTTATAGCATATTGGAAACTGAGTATATATAACTTCCAAACTGGTAGAGAGAAAAGAGAAAAAATATCAATCCAAAAGAAGGCAAGAAAGGACCAAAAAAATCATTGAAAAAACAAGAAAAGAAAACAAAATAGGATGGTAGAAATAAATATATCAATAATAACAGTAAATTGGCTGGGCACAGTGGCTCATACCTGTAATCCCAACATTTTGGGAGGCTGAGATTGTGCCATTGCACTCCAGCCAGCAACAGGGCAGATTACCTGAGGTCAGGAGTTCGAGACCAGCATGGCCAACATGGCAAAACCTCATTTCTACAAAAAATATCAGAATTAGCCGGTCATGGTGGTTCGCGCCTATAGTCCAAGCTACTTGGGAGGCTGAGGCAGGAGAATTGCTTGAACCCAGGAGGCAGAGGTTGCAGTGAGCTGAGATCACGCCACTGCACTCCAGTCTGGGCAAGACAGTGAGACTCCAGCTCAAAAAGAAAAAAAGAAAAGAAAAGGGTGGAAAAGTATGTACCAGGTAAATACTAAATTTCTGAAAAGTGTGTATACCTACATTAATATCAGACAAAATATATTTTAGGACAAAATAGTACTAGAGATTAAAAGGTAACTATATAATGATAAGATATTCAATTTTCCAATTAGGTATAACAGTTATAAACTTCTACAAATATAATAATATAGCTTCAAAAATAAACTAAAATTGGCAGAATCATAAGGAAAATTACACAAGTCAACTATTTCATGAGCTAGTTCAACACACATTTCTGTGATTGATAAAATAAGCAGTAAAAAATCAATAAATTAAGAATATAAAAGATTTGGGCCAGGCATGGTGGTTCATGCTTGTAATTCCAGCACTTTGGGAGGCCAATGTGGGAGGACTGCTTGAAACCCAGGAGGTCAAGACCAGCCTGGGCAACATAGCAAGATCTTGTCTCTACAAAAAATTTAAAAATTAACCAAGCTTGGTGGTGTATGCCTGTCTTCCTAGTTACTCAGGAGGCTGAGGTCAGAGGATTGCTTGAGCCCAGGAGATCAAGGCTGCAGTGAGCCATGATCATGCCACTGCATTCCAGCATAGACAACACAGTGAGACCCTGTCTCAAAAAAAAAAAAGATTTCAACAACACAACTAATAAGTTTGATCTAATGTCAATATATAGAACTCCTCATTTAGTAAGTATAGAATATATAGTGTTTTCAAGCATCCATGGAATATCTACAAAAATAACCATTAAAAATTAAATCCTGGCTGGGCACGGTGGATCATGCCTTTAATCCCGGCACTTTGAGAGGTCGAGGCAGGTGGATCACGAGGTCAGGAGTTCAAGAACAGCCTGGCCAACATGGTGAAACCCCGTCTCTATTAAAAATACAAAAATTAGCTGGGCATAGTGACACATGCCTGTAATCCCAGCTACGCGGGAGGCTGAGGCAGGAGAATTATTTGAACCAGGACCCAGGAGGCGGAGGTTGCAGTGAGCCGAGGTCGTCCCACTGCACTCCCTCTAGCCTGGGCTACAGAGCTAGATGCTGTCTCAAAAA